GATGACGGGGGGTGTGGGGGGGTGTGGGGGGAAATTAACATGAAAAATCATGATCAACATGAATTTCGTTTGCTTTGGGACGTCCTCCTGACATGTAAAGGTGCTCTATAAATGTAATTTTGCTGTTTTTTCGAAGGGGGCTATTTTACTGGAGTTCTTGGTACGAATCCTGACATCTGATCCGATCCGATTCGGCACTTATAACATCAAAAGCTGCGGAGTGCTTCACATTTGCTGTCAGGTGCAGTGACTGTGTATTCATAGATAAACACAGCAACCAGTTTACACACAGTCAGGTCCCCCAGAAAACAGTGGTGGGATGAATTTGTGTGGGGAGGACAGTTGCCCAGGACACCGGGAGAAGCTCCCTTCTCATTCCCAACAGATTCCTGGGTTTTATCCAAAAGGATAACGCCGCCAACAACACAGCGCTCTCTCTCTCTCTCTCTCCTCCCAGCACTGCGCTGGAGGGTCAGCCCTGACCATCAGCTCAAAGTCCCCTTCATGTGGGGACTTGAATACAAAATACACCCTAATAAGTGATGGCTTTCTCTTCTCCTTTATTTCCCTCCATGGCTTTCTGTTTCAGCCCCTCCCCACCCACACCCCCTCCCCACCCACACTCACTCACACCCCACCCACACCCCCTCCCCACCCACACTCATACCCCCTCCCACCCACACTCACTCACACCCCACCCACACCCCACCCACACCCCTCCCCACCCACAATCACACCCCTCCCCACCCACACTCACACCCCCTCCCTACCCACACTCACACCCCCACACTCCCCCCCCCACTCACACCCCCTCCCCCCCACACTCCCCTCCCCCCCTGTGGGCTAATTGCCAGGATCTGATCTGATCAGAACTGAATGTACCAAACACAGCTGACCCCCCCCCAGCCCTGGCCTGTGATTGGCGGATCCCACTGACTGGCAACATGTTGCAATTTGCGGGGAATCCCCCGCGGGTGACGCATGCGCAGAGCGCTCCGGCGCGGGGGAATTCCTCAGATACCCACTTCCGGGTTGTCAGTCGGTTCACTGCTCAGATCGGCCCCGACCCGGGACCCGGGACCCGAGCGGGAATGGGGACAGGTAAGCCGGGGTGTGGGGGAGCGGGGGGGGAGACAGAGAGAGACAGAGACACAGAGAGAGACACAGAGACAGACAGAGAGACAGACAGAGAGAGACAGACAGAGAGACACAGAGAGAGACAGAGACACAGAGACAGAGAGAGAGACAGAGAGAGAGAGACAGACAGAGAGACAGACAGAGAGAGACACAGAGACAGAGAGACAGAGACACAGAGACAGAGAGAGACAGAGAGACACAGAGAGAGACAGAGACAGAGAGACAGACAGAGAGGCAGACAGAGAGAGACAGACAGAGAGACACAGAGAGAGAGACAGACAGAGAGAGACACAGAGAGAGACAGAGACACAGAGACAGAGAGAGACAGAGAGAGACAGAGAGAGAGAGACAGACAGAGAGACAGACAGAGAGAGACACAGAGACAGAGAGAGACACAGAGAGAGAGAGAGACAGAGAGACAGACAGAGAGAGACACAGAGACAGAGAGAGACAGAGAGAGAGAGACAGACAGAGAGACAGACAGAGAGAGACACAGAGACAGAGAGAGACAGAGAGAGACACAGAGACAGAGAGAGACACAGAGACAGAGAGAGACACAGAGACAGACACAGAGACAAAGAGAGAGAGACACAGAGACAGAGACAGAGAGAGTGTTCAATGTGGACCTCACGAGGACGTTGTGGATTTGTTTTGCTCCGAAATGTCTCCTGAAGGAGTGAAGCCATTCGCTGACTCTGTGTCCGGTGTTTGTGCTCCGGTGGTCGTTGTGGCGGATTGGAGAGTCGGAGGGAAGCCTCACCGCCCCCTCTCTCCTCTCCTCACCCACTCCCGTTTAGGGTCCGTGACTGTGTGTGACTGTGTGTGTGTGTGGGGCTGAGGGGCCAATCCCCAGTTTCCATCCCTGGTCGGTGAGGAGGTTGTGGATCTCACTCGGGGTGAAGTGAGACGGTGACAGCAGCGAAGGAGACTGTGTGACCCCCTCTGAAGCTCTCACTCACTCACTCACTCACTCACTCACTTCTCACTCCATCCTCTGCTCTGTCCCCATCACTCACACACACTGGAACTCCCTCATCTCTTTCGCCGAACACTTTTAACATAACTGTCTTCCTGTTATTTATCCCAAACCCCTTATACTGCGCGGAAGGTTTTAATGGTCTTTTGTTTCCTTTGTTATGGACTCAGTTTCGAGAGCCTTTTGTGGTGAGGTTTCCAGCGATGTGTCAGTGAGTGAGTGAGTGAGTGTCTGTAAAACAAATCCTCGCATAAGATCCCAGAATTTTCTCTGTTGTGTTAATGAGTCACTGATCGGGAAAAGTCCCGATGAGTGAAATGTAGAATTTTGCACCACAGAAGGAGGCCATTTGGCCCATCGTGACTGTGCCATCTCCCTGCAAAAGCTGTCCAACCACTCCCACTCCCCCTCTCTGACCCCACAGCTCTGCACATTTTCCTTTTCAAGTCACTATCCCGATGCCCTTGTGAATCCGCTTCCACCCTTTCGGGCAGTGCATTCCAGACAGTAACAACTCTCCGGGTAAAAAGAGAGTCCTGTAGGTCAGTGGTCAGAGCACTCGCCTTCGCAAGCGAGATACCTGGGTTCGATTCCCGGGCAGGGCAAAACGGTGGGCAAGTTTCCTTACTCCACACGTCAGCAGTAAGTAGGAACCTGGTTGTTAGTTGATCGCTTTTCCGGGAGTAATAATTCCTTCAAGAAAAATAATAAATTGGCCACTTCAATCCACAGCTGTTTGTAAGTCACTGCTGTGTGCAATCGGCTGCCGCATTTCACCAATGAAATATACAGTCAATTTGCTTTACAGTATATCATGGGAAGCACTTTGAAACACCTCAAAGACATGATAAGGCGCTACATCAAAGGCAAGGATTACTATTATAATAAAGAGATTTGCTCTGTTGGATGAGATAGGACATTGCTGGTAAATGGAGAGTGTTATTGTGATGGATTGAAGGAGACTCGCCTCTCTCTGACTGAGAGTGAGCAGATCGCAATAGCAACAGGAAATCCTCCGTTCAGATGGTGATCTGATAGACGTGAAAGCTGGAAACCCCGCAACACGTTATATACCCCCAGGCAGGAGCTTCACTCCCTCAGGAACTGAAAGAGAAAGTCAGGTTAACATTTCAGGGGTGAAACTCTTCAAAGCGTTCTCTCTCTATTACAAAACTCAGTTTAACCCCTCGGTCCCTGGTGTCTGCACTGAAAGATAAATTGTGCTTTTATTGGGCGCTACGGTGGGACCCACCGTGCATTTAAAGGTATCTCTCGCTCCGAGGCACCCGCAGGTTGAGGTGACTGTACTCCAGGGGTTCGTTCCCCCTTTAAAACTTCTCAAATTGAAACATCCCCCACCAGACCGACTTAAAGGGACAGTCCGATGATTAATTCAGTTGCAGGAGGAAAAAAAACATCTTCAGTTTCCATCTCCGCTGTGTCTGAAGGCAGCCACTGACATCCCGGCTTTGTCACTGGCTTCACATTGACTGAGACCGTTATGCAGTAAATCTCCCAACGTAAACAGCTGTGAGGGTACGAGGGGCTCAGGGCAATCGATCAGAAACCAGCCTCACTTGTTATCCCCCCAGAAATGGAATTCTGTAGTATTATAATATACTCTGATCCATTCTCTGCTCTCTTTTCTCTCCCCATCCTGCCTGTGCTGGTGCTCGCTCCTCCCATGGGAACTCTCTACTCTAATCCCAGTGATGTGTCACCCCTCCGGCTCGGATGAGTGCTGACTAGCTGATGATTGCGATGATTGTTTTGCAACAGGGACTTGGGGGAATGGCTGTGGGTCGGGGGAAGAGCAGGGACAGTCCGCAACATGATCTCATCCATTCAAGAGCAGTTGGACTGCTCAATAGAGGGTGACACAACCCTGGGCCACTGTGTTAGATTCTGGTGTTGGGTTGTGGTTGTCACCTATAGTAACACTGTACGGATTGGAATCTCCCCCAGTCAACTACAATTTATGAAGTGTTTTGAGACATCTCAACGCTGAGATAAGGCGCTATATCAAATGCAAGGATTATTATTACAGGTAATCGCTGTCCACTGTATTGACTTAACTTATGCGGGAATCGATTTAGAGGGGAGGGGAGAAGATTAAAGGGGGGGGAAGAGAGAGTGTCTGTGTGTTTGCTGTGGGGGTGGGGTGGGGGTAGTGGAGGTTGCTGAGCAGATGGTTACCTCGCGTTGCTTTGCATGTGTTGCAGTGAGGGGAGGGTTTGACTGCTCTAAATGAGGAGTGGTGAGCGGCGATGGAGGGAAGAACCCCGTTTCGGATCTATGACCCTGGTGGGGTGGAAGCCATGACCTGGAACAGTCTGCAGCAGAACAACGCGTCCTACCAGCAGCTGCTGGCGGAGAACAGTGTCCTGAAGGAGAGGATGAAGGGTCTCCAAAGTCTAGGTACCAGCTCCCTCATAGCTTGTCGTCGTGTCGCTGCCTGTGGCGGCGGGGTGTGGGGCGGGGGGATGGGAAACTACTGGGTTAGAGGAGGGAGAGGGCTCTTCTCCCTCCCGGCCCAACACCGGCTCTCAATTTCAAGATCCTCACAGTCGTCTTCAAATCCCTTTACTCCCTGACACTTCCCTTCCTCTCCGACCTACCAACTCCCCAACCCACTGCCTGTGGCTTCTGCTCGACTGGCTCCAGCCTCCTGCATGTATCCTCCTCCGCTCCACCATCGGTGGCTGCACTTTCAGCCCCTACTCCCCGAAACTGTGGAACACTCTCCCTCTGTCCCTCCACTTTGCCACCGTCCTTCCTCTGTGACCGTGCCTCTGGGCACCTCCGCCGGTGTCAAGCGCCCTGCGTGAGGGCAGCTATATAAGTGCAAGTTGTTATTGATTACTTCCCCCCTCCTCCCCCCGTACGAATTATTTCCTGGTCTCCCACCTGAATGTGCTCTAACCCTGTGACCCCCCCCCCACTCCCCCGCTGTGAGAACACAGCTATTTTTTGGGGGGACCACAGCTCTTGAGGGGGCGGGGGGAGAATGGGGGTAGGGGAACGAGCCTGCCACAGTGTCCCAGCCTCTCCCCCACACACAGGAAACCTGTTGGAGGAGTCCCAGACGGAGGCCTTGAGGCTGAGGCAGAAGGTGGAGGAGTTGGTGCGCGACAGCGAGGACTTGAGATCCAGCCCCGGCCTCTTGCTGGCCGAGACCTCGAGCCCCCAGACACCCACCGGCCCCCAGACACCCACCGGCCCCCCAGCCTCCACCGGGCCCCTGGCTTCCACTGTGCCCCCAGATAATCAAGGTATGTGACGAGGTTACAGAGGAGAGCTCCAGGACTGTGTGGGTGGCGCTGGGTGAGGAGGTGGTTGGGAATGGAGCTCAGACACTGTTCCTGATCTTGGCTATGACTCTCTCTCTCTGTCTCTCTCTCTCTCTCTGGGTTCCTCTGTAGACCTGTGCCAGGTCCCAGCACAGGCAGATCCGCAGACTGGCGGGATCCACACGCCGGGAAAAGCCGAACAGAAGCCGCCGGGCAGCGTACGTACAAGGAGTTACCCCCTCACTCACACCTGTTGCCACCCCCTCACTGCCCCCCCACTCGCTCACTGGCCGCTCAGTAGCAAAGTGATTTTTTTACGCATACTGGACACTTCCATTGATACAACACGTGGCATTTGCACAGCACCTTTCACCTTGGGAGGAAGTCCCAAGGGGTTGGACAGTCAGGAATTTGGACCTGAGCTGGGGGGGTCAGGGAGGGAGGGGGGTTGGGTGTCACAGGCTGAGTTGCTGTGCGTTGTGTGTCTGTCCTTCACGTGTTCGTTACATTCTCAGGAAACGTCCTCGGAATTTGAAATCGTCAACATGGAAGAGAAGATGGAGAGAAGTGAAGGAGAGAGAGAGGTGAGATTTCCCCCCCTGTCCCTGCGAATGGGGCGCGTGGATTACTGGGGTTAGAGGAGTGAGAGAGAGAGCTCCAGTGAGGGAGTGAGACAGAAGGAGCCCATGCTGAGAGCTGTGGGAAGTAGCCTCGGAAGATTCCCCCCGGGAGTCAGTGAGGAATTCCATTAGAATTCCCAGGGGAGAGAGGAAAGGTGAGGTCAGGGCTAAGATCAAGTGTAGTTTCTGTTCTTATCACCATTGTGCGGCTTTCAGAAAGATCTCCTGTTGAGAGTCGCTTGTGTCTGACACGGCCATGAGGCAATGTCGGAGACTGAGCTTCCTCCCGCCCCCTGTTGGCTGGGATTGGGATTGCAGCAACCGCCAATCTGAGGAGCTCGATCACAAAGAGATACCGGACTGTGGGGCTCGCTCGCCAGGTCACTGGGCTCAGGAGGGGCTTATCGTGAAGACGGGCATCAGGTCCGCCTCGTCCTGTGGCGATTTGGTGCCGGAGAGAGTTTGTGGGGATAACACTCGCTACAGTTTAAGAAATGGGTTTCGGTCTAAATCGCCTTAATTAAAGGGGTGATCGGGGCCAAACTGTGTAACCTCCCTCCGTTTCCCCCCCCATCTCTCTCCCTCCCCCCCTCTCTCTCCCCCACCCCCTCTCTGCCCCTCCTCTCTCCCCCCTCCTCTCTCCCTCCCCCCTCTCTCCCCCCTCCTCTCTTCCTCTCTACCCCACCCCTCTCTACCCCACCCCTCTCTACCCCCCTCTCTACCCTCCACTCTATTTCCCCCTTCTCTCACCCCCTTCTCTCTGCCCCCTCTCTCTCTCTCTCTCTCTCCACGTCTCTCTCTCCTCCCTCTCTCTCTCTCTGCCCACCCCCCAACCCACCGTGGGGTGTGTAGCTGGCTGGTGAGGATGGCGATGTGTCTGGATACCTGAACAGACTGGGCAGTTCTCTCAGTGTATTTGCTGAGGAGACGAACCGTAAGCAGCTCCTGGCTCACCTCAGCCGCATGGCCGTGGACTTCTCCCGACTGACAGCCAAGGTCCAACGCAACGAGTCCAAGACCTCCGTTCTGCAGGTACCGCAACCCCCGCTTGGGCTCTGCCCCCACCCCGCCCGGACTCCGCCCGGACTCCGCCCATCCACGCCCAGACCTGCCCGGACTCCTCCCTGCCTCCACCCTCTCCCCGCTCTCCCTTGACTCCCCACCACCACCCAGTCCTGGCTACAGATTAGCCCTCGGCCTACACAACACACAGTCACTACATGGCAGTTCCGCGGGTGCTGAGCATTGATGTTGGGCTGTTGCCGCAGACGCTGTGTGAGCAGCTCCGCAGCGAGAACGAGGATCTGCGCAGGAAACTGGATAATGACATCCAGCACCAGAGCCGTGTGGTGGAGAGGATCCAGTACGTACTCACACTCGCGTACACACACTCACCCTCCCGACACTCGCGCACACACACACGATGCTCACATTCACACACATACTCACACACTCTCCCTCTCTCTCACCTCTCACTCTCTGTGTCTCTCTCTCGCGTTCACTCACTCACCTCTATCTCTCTTTCCCTCTCTCTGTCACGGGATTAATAATGGTTGTTTCCTCTCGGCTCTGTCAGGCAGGAGAACGAGCAGCTGAGGCGAGCGAGTGGGGAGAGGGCACTGACAGGCCAGCGAAGGCTTACGGCCCCCACAGTGGGAGCAGAGGGCCAGCAGGTAGGTCACATATTATCTCAACGTCCCCCCCACCCACCACCCTGGTCACTCCAGCACCTGCCACTGTTAAGCGCTCTGAGATGCGTAGGGGGCGCTGTGTAAGTTCTTGTTGCAATCACTCTAATCTCTCTCTCCCCCTCTCTGCCCAGAGCCCCGAGGTCCCGGAGCAGGCGGGGGGGAGGAAAGAGCTGGAGATCCTGGAGAAGAAAGCCCAAGCCCTGGAACAGCAGAGGAGGGAGGTGAGGCTGAGAGCGATACCGTAGTCACAGCTCCCAGCCCTCAGCGTAGGGCAACACCGCAGCCCCCGGCACAGCGGTGGGTGGGGAGGGGGGAAGAAGGGGCCTCAGACTGTTCTGGGGAGATGCTGTGAACCCAGGCGGGTGCTGCTGGCTGAGTGGCTTCTCAGTGAGACTTGGAAGGTGCCACACGTCCTTAACCCTGTGATCAATGCCGAGCCGGGAGAGCTTGAGTGATCGCTCAGTGTTGTGGTTTCCGCGTGGCTGTGTGCTCTGCTCGCTCTCCCTGTGCGTTGGGGACGTCCTCCCGGCCTGAAAGGCACAATACACAAATGTAATTTGTAGTTGTTGTTGTTACAGCTGTTGGAGGTGAACAAGCAGTGGGACCAGCAGTTTCGCACTATGAAGCAACAGTACGAGCAGAAGGTAACGTTACCGCACACAGCTCCCGTCCGACTGTCCGTCCGGGCACACGTTAGAGGTCCTGTAGCATTATTGGAAACCTTGGAGGTTTCTCCTGGCGTCCTGGCCGACATCGTCTCTCTCTCCCCCATCGTAACATTGTCTCTCTCTCCCCATCGTAACATTGTCTCTCTCTCCCCATCGTAACATTGTCTCTCTCTCTCCCCATCGCAACACTGTCTCTCCCCCATCACAACACTGTCTCTCTCCCCATCGCAACACTGTCTCTCTCCCATCGTAACATTGTCACCATATTACAATACTGTAAATCCTGTGAAGCATTTTGAGACATCCTCCCAACATCCTCCCATCCTCCCAACTGTGCAGCGCCTTGGGACGTCCTCCTGACGTGAAAGGCGCTCTATAAATGGAATCTTGTTGTTGTTGTTGTTGTTGTTAATTGTGTTGTTATATGACTGTTATTATTATTGCTCTTATTGTTATTGTATTATTGGAATTGGTATACTGTTATTTTGTTTTATGTTTATATTACTATTATTTGTAATAATATTGTTACACTGTTGTTGCGATATTGTGCTGATATTGTATATTGTTGTTATTACCTTCTTGTTGTTGTGCTAATCAGATAGTGGAGCTACGCCAACGGTTATCAGTCTCACAGCGATCGCTGAGTGGGCAGGAGGCTGATCGCGATGTGCGGCAACGAGACTTTGACAAGCAACTGCTGCTGGCCAAGACCCGGATCAGCAGCGGAGAGGTACAGAACCCCTCCCACACCCCAACCCCTGACCCAACACAACCCCCACCCTGATCCCCCAGCTCCCAGCTCCCGCCTCGCACAGCAAGACATCCATTCAACTCAGACTTGTCAAAAACATTAACTAATACCTTTTACCATCTCTGTGTCTCTCTGACTGTGTGTGTGTGTGGGTATGTGTCTTTCTCTCTCTATACCACTCATACGGTCTTTCTCGCTCCCATAACTGTCTCACTCTCTCTGTTTCAGTCCGAGGTTAAGGAGCTGAAACAGAAGAACAAGTGTCTCCAGGATCAGCTCATGTCTCTGACCAAACAGCGGGAATATCAAGAGAGGGAAATCCAGCGGCTCAACAAGGTGTGGACACGTCAACCTCTTTACTTCACAAATATATTCCATCCAAAGTGCGGTGGATATCGTTCATTGCTGTCTCACTGTGTGTGTGTGTGTGTGTGTGTGAGGGTCGCTGTGGATGTGTGTGTGTGTGTGTGGGTCGCTGTGGATGTATGTGTGTGTGTGTGTGTGTGAGGGTCGCTGTGGATGTGTGTGTGTGTGTGTGTGTGTGAGGGTCGCTGTGGATGTATGTGTGTGTGTGTGTGTGAGGGTCGCTGTGGATGTATGTGTGTGTGTGTGTGTGTGGGGTCGCTGTGGATGTATGTGTGTGTGTGTGTGTGTGAGGGTCGCTGTGGATGTATGTGTGTGTGTGTGTGGGGGTCGCTGTGGATGTGTGTGTGTGTGTGTGGGTCGCTGTGGATGTATGTGTGTGTGTGTGTGTGGGGTCGCTGTGGATGTATGTGTGTGTGTGTGAGGGTCGCTGTGGATGTATGTGTGTGTGTGGGGGTCGCTGTGGATGTATGTGTGTGTGTGTGTGGGGGTCGCTGTGGATGTGTGTGTGGGGGTCGCTGTGAGTGTGTGGGTGTGTGTGGGTCGCTGTGGGTGTGGCTGTGTGTGTGTGTGGGGGGGGGGGGGGTCGCTGTGGGTTTGGCTGTGTGTGTGTGTGTATCCACCCACACATGTGTAGTGACATGTTTGTGTCTCAGGCTCTGGAGAACGTGTTGACGGCTCAGACTCCTCTGTTTGTCGCTGGAGAAACAGGTGTCGGTGCCCAGAGACAGGAGCTGCTCACTCAGCTCGAGGTCCTCAAACACCAGGTAAGAGCCCTTCCTCCCCCGTCACCCCTCCCCCTCGCAACCCCTCCCTCTCCATAACCCATCACCTCTCCCCAAACAGCTGTGAGCTGTGTCACTGTCGGGCAGTTTGTGGCGCTGTGTCGCGGTGGTCATGTGTGTGTTGGTCACTGGGTCACGTGTGTGTGTGTGTGCGTGTAATTTCCAGGTGAAGATCTTTCAGGAGGATTTCCAGAGGGAGAGGAGCGACCGGGAGAGAATGAATGAGGAAAAGGAGGTGTTAAAGCTTCAGCTGGAGCAGCTTCAGAGTCAGAACGGTCTCCTCAACACACAGGTACCCACACTCCCCCCTCTCCCTCTGCAGCCCCCAACACACAGGAGCCCACCCACCCTCTCCCTCCGCACCCCCCAACACACAGGGACCACCCGCCCCCCTCCCATCCACCCACAGTTTTATTCTCTTCTGATTCCCCCCACCCCCTAATCCCATACGTACATGTTCTCACTTTCTTTCTCTCTCTCTTGCTCGCTCTCTCTCTCTCACGGTGTCTCTCGCTCTGTCTCCGCTGTCAGCTGCGAGTCTATCACGATGATTATTAGGAGGAGAAGTTGCAAAAGGAAAAGTTTTAGCGAATCCTGAAGCTTCAGAAACAGGTCCTGGAGGAGGTACAGGGAGCGAGAGAGCTCGAGGGAGGGAGAGAGAGAGAGAGAGCACGGGCGAGAGTATGTGTAACGTGAGAATGATCATCTCACAGGGAGTGTGGCAAATGAGGCAGATCATAACCTGATGTTCCTGTGCAGCACTGTGTGGGGGGGAGAGGGGGTGCCCTGTTTGTGTGTGTAATGTGGCCGCCCGGTTTGCCTGTAACAGTCACTTCACGTAAGAGCGAGTGCACTTTGCTACGTTCTAAGCTAAGGCACGGACTGACGGTGTTGTTGTTGTTCCTCTCCTCACTCTGATCTCCGTTGACAGGATCCAGCAGAGAGACGTTCCTCAGAGCCCTCGGCCCGAGCCCCCACCCCATTCTGCCCCGGCTACCCCGTGCCCCCCTACCCACCGCTCCCCCAGGTGCACGGGGGCTACGACTGGCAGATCCACTACCCGCCCACGGCCCTGGGACTCGGGCCCGTGCCCTACCACCTGGTGAGTCACAGCTAACGGGTCACTGTACACGCAGATACGCGCACACACACCCAGACACACCCTCTGTGTTGCTGTGTGCCTCTGTATGGCTGATTCTCTGTTTCTGGCACAGACGGACCCCCACTGGCACCCGCTCTGCCCCACGGCCCCCAGGATCCCGGCCAACACACAGCCCGACGGAGCCAAGCTGAACCGGATAGGTGAGAACAGGGATCGAGGTCAGGCCTCGCTCTGTGACCCTCGACCCTCATTTCCGGGTAGATCGTGGGGAAGTATTACTTACGTTGCATGTTGATGCTTGACCCTGCTGGATATGTGTGTGTTGGGGGGGGGGGGGGGTGAGCGCTGAGTGTGTGCGTGTGTGGGGTGGTGGGGGCTGTGTTTGTTCTGTGTGAGTGTTTAACCCCCCCCCTCTCTCTCTCCTGTTACAGATGCTCTGGCCCATGGCCCTGGGAAGGGCCAGCACTGAGCCCAGTGACTACCTGACATTGACCTGCTTCTCCTGCTCTCAACCTGGAGGAGGTCCAAACTCCCAAGTACCTTCAGTGTGGGCAGCCTAGTTTCTGGCTCTGTGTCTCTCTGTTTGTAGACCTGGCTCTTGCCGTTTCGATTCGGGAGGGGCTTCCCGAGTTTCCAGTCGTGCTGGATTTTTGGCAACAATCATGTTCTGCTCTGAATTTCCAAACTTTGGTGTAAAAGCGAAATGGCATCAAAACCCCAGTTTGGAGAATTTGCCAAAGTTCAGCACAACTTGAAATTGGGAAACAATATGTTCCTGAGGTTGAAAACGGCTGGAATCTAATAGTCCCCCCACCCACCCTAACCCCCCTCCCCTACTTCGCAACCCAGCTCCATCTTTCCTTCCCTTCTGTCCAGCCTCGGAGTGTGAGTAATTCTTCATTTGTCCACTTTAAAAATACAATCCCCTGATATTAAAATCCTTGTTAAATCCCCTTTGACCTTTTGTGAATTTGTGGTGAGGGTGAGGGGGAGAGCGCGAGGGGAGACAACCCCCACCCCCCAAACTGACTTATCTCAGCTTTCCAAAGTTGGCCACACAGAAGAAAGATTTATTTGTAACCAGATTTAATGAAGACAGCACGGTGTGGGGAAGGCAAAGGGGAGGGGTTGGGAGCATGGTGGGGAGCATTGGGAGGGGGAGCGTAGGCCTGGGGGAACGGTGGGGGACGCTAAGGGAATGGGTGGGGAGCAGGAGCGTGCGGCCTGGGGGGCAAGATGGCTGGGGAGAGTGGGGCGATGGGGTTGGGGAGCGGGGGGAGAGGGGTGGAGGAGTGGGGGCTCGGGTGGGGAGGGGGTGGTGGAGCAGGAGCGTGTGGCCTGGGGGACAGGGCAGCCTGAATGCACTGAAGGAGCTGCTCTTGCCCAGACCAGCCTCAGACCAGGCCCCGCAGGGTCTGCTTTACAGCCTGGTCCTCACTGTCACGTCCTGCCACACCCCCGCCTCCACCCCCAACCCTCAACTCCTAACACCCCCCGGGCCAGGGCAGTTTTGGGGGAGAGCAGACAATGTTGGGGTTACAGGGCGTCACTCAGCTGAGGTGTTGGAGTTGACTTTAGCTGTGGCTGGGGGCTGTCAGTAGGAGTTATTGCGAACCTCTTTCCAACAGGGATTTCATGTAGTAGATGACGTTGGCCCTGACGATTGCCACAGGAACGTTGTGATTCCAGCGCATGATCACCTGTCCGGTCGGGCTCACCAGGAACTTCTCAAAGTTCCACTTCAAGTCCGAGATCTTCAGGGGCTTCCAGAACAGCCTTGCGTGGGCATCCCCGAAGCTTTCGCTCACCGGTGGGCACGCGCTCTGTGGGCAAACGGCAAGAGTTACCCACTTGCCTGGAGTCACCCAGGCCATGTCAGCTGTTGCGTGTGCGTGGCGTTTGCATGTTACGTGTGGGTAGAGTTGTCCCAACTGGACAAGGAACACTGGAACATAGGAACAGGAGTAGACCTAACAAACATGTATCAATCTTGAAAATTTGGATGGATCCAGTATCCAAAAGGGGAGGGAGAGAGTTGCAAGCAGCGGGAAAGCTGGCCAGACAGTGCTCTCAATGAACAAGCTATGAGGTTTTAGCTGGTTAGACTCCAGCAGTTACCCCAATGTACACTCTGGGCTCCTCCCAAAATTTGGCTCTTGCCAACCTGCACCTAATACTTTCCGGAATTAGGTAAGCGGGGGGGTGTCCTTCCAGAGAGGGAGAGAAAGAGAGAGAGCGCATTCCATTTCAACAATCTATCTCTGGGGTTTCCATGTGTAGATGGGATGCCTGGAAATCTCAGCTTGGGTTTGGAGATTCTTAAGCAACGGTGATGGGTTTCCGCACATGTCAGACACCTGACTGACCAAAAAAACACGAAAGCGTGTTGAGTGTGCGCGGGTTGATGGTGAGAAGAGCAAAGCGGACTGACCTTGAGGTACGTATAATGCTCTTGTTCGTCAACACCATTCACATCTCCCTTCTGGAACATCAGAAAGTTTGGCACAAACCCTTTCCCAGGGCGGACATATCTGAGGGCAGAGGGAGAGACTCTGTGTGATGTGAGTGTGTGAATGTGAACGTTCTGTGGGTGTGCGCTTGAACGAGGACTGTTTTTCTCCCGCTCAGCTCTCCCCACCATCGGCAGTTGGGCCTTCAGCCTCTCTGCCCCCACCTTTGGAACACCATCCCACAATCCTTGCCCCCTCCCTTGCCTCCTTCAGGACACATCTCAAGACCTTCCTCTTTGACCGAGCCTTCGCTCACCCTTCTACACCCATCCTCCCTGCCCTTGACCCTCCTGATCCCAGCCACCAGCTCAGGTCCAAATCCCTGCCTGTCCAGGGTGTTGGGCTGTCCTTCTCACATGAAAGGCACCGTGTAAATGTCATTTGTTTTTCTTGTTCTTTGTTGTTGTCGCTGCTCACACTCACTTCAGAGAGAGAGACCCTCGGTGTGAGCAGTGTGCGAGTGTCTGTAAGGACTGTTTGGCTGATCACACTCACTTCAGAGAGAGAGACCCTCGGTGTGAGCAGTGTGCGAGTGTGTGTAAGGACTGTTTGGCTGATCACACTCACTTCAGGCTGAGTAATATCTCCCTATTGTTGCCTGGCTCCTGTTTCCCAAACTGGTTGGAGGGGAAGGCGAGGATAGTAAAACCGTGTGGTTGCAGTTCCTTGTGAAGTGCATTCAGTTCTGGGGAACAAACAAACACAGCTCTCATTATAATATGCAATAACAATCCTTGCAGTGCCTTATTGTGTAGTGTAGTGACTGTGCTTTGTGGGCAAGTACAGCAGCCAATTCGTGCACAAACAGCCATGAGGTTGATGGCTGAGGGTGTGTGTGTGAGTGGGGGGAGACGCAGGGATTACTGGGAGAGAGGAACTCCCTTCTCTTTTTGACTTGCGCCACGAGTGTGAGCTGTGGACCTGAGGTAAGAGGCACAAACCAAGGTACTGCTCGGTTAACCCTCAGTAGGAAGCCACATTGACAATCAGCACCGTTTTGCCCATGAAGTCCATGAAGGAGATGTAGTGACGGCCGTCAATCGTTGTGGCTCCATAGTTATAGATGGAGTCGGGGATCGAGGAGTTACAGTAAGAAACCTGCAGGTCAGAGATCGTGAGAGTCATCAGGTCTCAGGTTTAATAATAACAACAATAATCCTTGCATTTAATATAACGCCTCATCGCATCTGCAAGACGGCTCAAAGCGCTTCACGCTTAATAATAATAATAATCCCTCCAAAACCAAAAACAATAATGGTCATTTTCAATCCACGACTGTTTGTGGGACATTGCTGTGTGCAATCGGCTGCCGCGTTCGCCCACAAATATACAGTCAATTCACTTTACAGTGTGTTCTGTGAAGTGCTTTGGGACGTCCTCCCGACGTGAAAAGCACTATATCAAATGCAAGGATTATTATTATTATTCACAGAATATACTATAAAGTGAATTAACTGTATTTTGTGGGTGAAATGCGGCAGCCAATTGCACACAAACAGTTGTGGACTGAGTGACCAAATTATTATTATTTTTTTGAAGGTATTATTACCCCCTGGGGCTGAGTGTGACTGTGAGCGTGCAAGTCTGAGTGTGTATGACTGTGGGTGAGTGGCAGTCTCTCTCCAGTGAGCAGGTTGGTGATTAGGGTGGGTTGTTTATTCTCAGTGGCTCACTGTCACAAGTTAATCATTTCATAAACTCTCAGTCTTCAGACGTGGCAGACTGGCTTCTGTCACGTGGAGAGCAGAGTGCCCGCAGGCAACCAGCGTTGTCACAGACCCTCAGACCCAGGGGGTAATCATCCCTTCAAAAAAATAATAATTTGGTTATCAAATAATCTGTAGAGTGCGGAGAGAGGGTGGGGGGAGGAGAGATGCTTTCTGAGCTCAGACCCCAGAGCCACATTCAATAACATTCAAATTTGCAAAGCACTATATCAAATGCAAGGATCAAAGCAAATTTGACCTGAATTGTCTCCTCATCAGGGTAATTTACCGCCTGTTAATGCCCCGTCCCCCGAACTCGCTGCTGAGCTTTCCTCTGGTAATGGAAATAAAACAGCCTCTTCTGAGCTGGGGTGGTGGGAGACGGGGACTGGAGGGGGGTGGTTAGTAACTGAGCCCCAGGGACGGGGAGCGAGTACCCCAAGCTGTGCCCAGTGATTTCACTTCACCTTACTCGTTTCATTGGGATGTCGTCCTGACATGAGAGACCCAATAAAAACACATGTACACACATATATATATAATCATATAGAATAATAATCCTTGCATTTGATATAGCATCTTATCACGTCGTCCATATGTATCAAAGCACTTGACAGAATATATTCTGTAAAGTGTAGTGACCGTATTTTGTGGGTGAAATGCAGCAGCCAATTGTGCACAGTAGTGTCCCACCAACAGTCGTGGATTCAGTGACTATTATTGTTAGTATTATTTTTTTTGGAAGAGATTATTACCCCTGGAAAAGCGATCTGTCAATCGACTGACAATCTGATTCCTACTTACTGCCCAGGTAAACAGAATGTGTGGAGTGAGGAAACTTGCCTAAGGTTTCGCCCTGCCCAGGAATCAAACCTAGGTCCTCTCGCTTGCGAGGCAAGGGCTCTAACCACTGAACTGTATTTTTTTTACATATATTTACACATATACATACTGAGGAACTTGTCCGTCCATCTATGATTCTATAGCGGGGGAGTGGGATTAATTTGGACAGCTCTTTCAAAGCACTGGCATGGACACGATGGGTCGAATGACCTCCTTCTAATATCTAATTATCCCGCTCGAGCCCCAGCCTTGAATTGCAAATGTCAATCAAACCTGCGCTCATGCCCAACTTTAGGCTAATATTTGCTTTAGCTCCGAGCGTGTGAGACACACATTAAACCTGGTACCTGTCACGGCGATGTTCTCGCTCTTACCTGTGTCTGTGATGTTTGCACCAAGGTGATCAGGAGCAAAGCCAATAGCCAGTGGCTCAAGCTGCCCTCCATGACTCTACCTGCCTCGCTCGCTCGCTGATGTTCCAGACTATTTATTGTGTTGATGGCTCATCCTAGAAACACAGGGGAGGAAGGCTGAACTATCCTAGCCAATCATTCTCCAGAAAAACAATCTAGTCTCGGAGCCAAATATCATCCTTAACCCTTTAATCAGCCCCGAGTCACAGACTTGATCAATGTATTCCATTTGACTGTCTGTGGGACGCTGCTGTGCACAATCGGCTGCCGGGTTGTGCCCACAAAATACACAATCAATTAATTTTACAGTATATTCCGTGAAGCACTTTGAAATGTCTCCCAGAAAAGCAATCCGCCAATCGACTAACAACCAGGTTCCTACTTACTGCAAGGTAAACAGAGGGGTGTGGAGGAACGAAACTTGCCTGGGAATCGAACACAAGTCCTCTCGCTTGCGAGTCAAGTGCTCTAACCTCTATGCTACTATACTCCACTTGCCTCAAAGATGGCACCTTGCAGGGAAGAGACCTCCCGCCCTGTCCTGCGAGCACTGAGCCGGGCTGGCAAGTTACTGAAACCAGGCAGGAGAGTTTGAAAGATGCCGGTATTCCGAGGTTTAACATATCTGCTCCAGCTGTTCCCAGAGGTGAATGCACATGGCATTCCCAGGTTAGCCACTGAATGGCCCCCTCCTGTGGTCACATACTGGAAGAGAAATAGATTGAAACAAGAGTTCTGTACATCTGTAAATAGTTCACGGTTTAACTTTTTGATTAGGACATGTTGAATGTGTGTGTCTGTGCATTTTTGTGTGTAAATCTGTGTATATTTAACCCACATAATACAGTCAATCCACTTACAATATATCCCTTGAAGCCCTTTGGGACATCTCAACAACGTGATAAGGCGCTATATCAAATGCAAGTTTTTTTTATTATTATATAGGTCTATATATGTGTGTCATTGTGCGTCTGTCCTAATCATGTATTTTTGCACGTGTGAGAGACGTCATGTGCATCTGTGGCTTCGTACTGTTTGCTTTTGTATGTTTTTTGGTATCATGTGTGTGTAATGTTCATGTACGGAGTGTCTCTCAGTGTCCTGACCAACAATCCTCCAAAGAAATAGGTCAGTCACCGCATGGCTGTTTGTGAAGCTTTGCTGTGTGTAAATTGGCTTCTGTGGTCAATGATCTCTCAGCCAGCCAGCGAGATTGAACATGGTACTTGATGATCTGAGCTGAGGAACTATTTATTTTTGTCCATTCACCCCTCCCCGCTGCCAATTCCCCGAGAGCCTCTGTCTCTAGACTGCTGTTTCCAATCAATGACTGGAGATTTTCTTACCCAATAAAATTGGAGGCAAAAATCAAATAAAACGTCAAACCCAACATCAACAAACCGTGGCTTCAATTAGCAGCGACTGGTTCCCACTGCAGACCCTCACGGGCGGGGGTTGGGGGTAGAAATTCACCATCCTATCCACCTGCCCTGGAGCCCACTCTAGCACGTGTTTCTGCTTACACTTGTCGGGCATGTTACAAGGTGCCTGTTTCCCCGAGGCTGCACTGCGAGGCGGATTGGTGGGGGCGGTGGTAATGAGTTCAACTCCACTCACTGCAAATGGTTCTCCTCTCTTTACTCACAGCAAGCTGTTTGATATTCCCTTGCGAGCTGAGGTCTCAGTGACGGCTCTGAAGGGATGTTACTGGTGTCAGTCTGGCTCAGTCAGTAATAGAAATAATAATAATTCTTACATTTGATTCAGCACCTTATCACAACGTTGTCTCAAAGCTCTGGGTATGGTAGCACTTTCACTTCCAGGTAAGACGGTCAGGTTCGTGGGTTCACACCCCCCCCCACCCCAACCCTAACTGAACTTTCCAGGAGATTTCCTGGGAATGAGATGACTTTGACTTTTGTTTCGCCCACAAAATACAGTCACTACACTTTACAGTATATTCTGTGAAGCGCTTTGAGATGTTTCAATGGTGTGATAAGGCGCTGTATCAAATGCAAAAGGATTATTATTATAACATGTTCCTTCTAAAGTGACTCTGTGCTGGTTGGTTGCAGAGTGATGGAGAGAATGAAATTTTCCTAGAGGCAGAGACAGACAGACAGACAGACTGACTGACAGACTGACTGACTGACGGGGGTAATGTGAGGGAGGAATGGATGTACTGGGAAAGCAAGCAAACCAGGTGCCTCTTATATTCAGTTTCTCCCCCTCTTCCCGGCTCAGTCTCAAGGAGCAGAGATGCCTGCTCCTGCGTGCGTCTCAGTGACTCACTAAAGAGCTCAGGGCAGAGTCAGTGTTTAATTACTGCCTTGTGTGTGTGTGTGTGTGTGTGTGAGAGAGAGAGAGAGTGAGGGGAATGTACATGAGCTCAACCTCTCAGTGTCGGGATGATGGGGAATCGGGCTGCACAGTCAGCCTGCACCTTGGCTTAACAGCGACGTCCTCGCTCGCTCACTTGCTCCACCAGCCGGACACGCTGTATCCCGGTGTGAAACTCACCACCGTGGCTGTTGGAAAACCGGAGTGTCGGAGTCCAGGAGCCGTCAGAGTGTGTGTCATGCTTTGAGGTGTGTCTAGCTTTTTATTTCTCTGCTCGACTAGCACTGGCCTCCTCTGCTTGTCCCCCGTGCTCTCCCTCCGTTCCACCATCAGTGGCCGTACTTTCAGCCACTACTCCCCGAAACTCTGGAACATTCTTCCTCTATCCCTCCGCTTTGCCCCCTCCTTCCCCATTTGACCATGCCTACGGTAATCTCTCTCCTGCTTGGCGTTCTGCTCCGCAACTGTCAGGGTTCAAATTGTCGTTGAGCACTTTGAGACATTCATTTGATGTGAGATGCGCAATTAAGTGTGAGGTGAAACAGCAGTGATGTCAACATGGTGAGCGACATGGGAGAATTATACTGAGTTTTATACAATAAACTGCTCGGATTGATTGTGATTTAGTTTCTCTGGGGAGTGACGGTTTTGCAGGCAGGTTAACCTTCTCTCAGCTGTGTACAGGCTCTGTCCTGTGTGACTGTGCGCGTGTGTTTGGTGAAAGTTTGGACAGTTCAGTGCTTTGCACTTTGCAGCACTTGTTTCAGTTATCACAACTCTTTATGAAAACTTGCAACTTTTGGGGAAACTTCCCCCCCAAGTCTCCGCAGTGGTTGTTTTTCCCCACGTGACAGCCAGTGTCAGCACGGGAGCCTCACACACCAGGATTATTATTAATAAGAAGAAAATGGAAAATGCTGACCTGTTTGATTGGGATGAGACGTTAAACCGAGGTCCCGTCTGCCTGTTCAGCTGGATGTTAAAGATCCCGCAGCGCTATTCATGAAGAGAAGGGAGTTTCTCTCTCTCTCTCACAATTGCTGGCCAACAATCCCACGGATAAAATCCGTGTTTCGCACCCACAAAATACACAGTCACTACACCTTACAGTGTGAAGTGCTTTGAGACGTCTCAACAACAACAACAAAATTACATTTGTATAGCACCTTTCACATCAGGAGGACGTCCCAAGGTGCTGGACAGACAGTTTTGGACTCGAGCTGGGGGTAGGGATCGGGGAGGGTGGAGGGGGGGAAGCAGGGAGATCGAAAGCACGGTTGAAGAGGAGGGTCTTGAGATGGGACTTGAAGGAGGCAAGGGAGGGGGCAAAGTGGAGGGATTGTGGGATGGAGTTCCAGGGGGTGGGGGCAGAGTGGCAAAAGGCTGCCCGCCAGTGGTGGGGCGAGCGAGGGTGGGGGGGGAATGTGAAGAAGGCCAGAGCCACTGAGCGGAGGGAGCAAACAGGATGGTAGAGGATTAAGAGGTCTCAGAGATAGGGGAGAGTAAGACCATGGAGGGCTTTGATGCTGAGGACCAGGACCTTGAACTGTATCCTCTGTGTGAGGATAGTTCAAGAAACCAGTGGAGTCGGGCGAGGATGGGGGTGATAGGGTCGCGGAGCCCGGTGCGGGAGAGGACACGGGCTGCAGAGTTCTGGATGATCTGTAGCTTGTGGAGGGAGGAGTTGGGGAGGCCGACAAGCAAGGAATTGAATAGTCAAATAATGAAAGCACGTATGAGGGTTTTGGCGGCGTCAGACGGGTGATGTTGAGGAGGTGGGGGAAGGCAGAGTGAGTCATGGCACAGATATGGGGTAGAAAGGATAGTTGAGTGTCAAACAAGACGCCAAGGTTCCGGACTGGAACAAGGAGCTATACCAAATGCAAGATTATTATTGTTATGATTATTAATAAGTGCTCTACTTTCCTTTGTGTTGAAGGCTGTGTTTGCGATGTGTGTGAAGGTGCCAGTGGTGTGCGAGAGGAGCCTCCCCTACCTGTTGCTGCTCAGCCTGTGCTGCCACCGACTTCCAGCCTCAGGCTCGTCACTGACAGGGGATCCAAGACACCGCACTGCCTCCCAGCATCTTACCATCGGCGGAGCCGAATCACCGGCTTCCTGCTCAGGAACACGCAGAAGAGGTGCGTATGTCCAGCTCATCTCCCCCTCCACCCCCTACAGATTAGCCATGTGGAGTCCTGTAGCTTAGTGGTTAGACCATTCCCCATGCAAGCGAGAGGACCTGGGTTCGATTCCCAGGCAGGGCAAAAAATTGGGCAAGTTTCTTTGCTCCACAGGCCTCTGTTTACCGAGCAGTAAGTCGGAACCTGGTTATTAAATGATTGGCGGATCACTTTCTGGAGGTACTAATCACTCCAAAGAAAAGTTGTCACTCAGTCGATGACTGTTTGTGGGACACTGCTGTGCACAATTGGCTGCCGCGTTTCACCCACAAAATACAGTCACTACACTTTACAGTATATCCTGTGAAATGCTTTGTGATGTCTCGAAGATGTGATAAGGCGCTGTATCAAATACAAGGATTATTATTATCTAACCAATAAAATGGCAGAACGGACTCGAAGGGCTGAATTGCCTTCTGCTGTTCCTATGTTCCTCCCACCCCCCCAGTTTGAGGCCACACACCAGGAAGTGTTTATTTATAACAACTTGCATTTATATAGGACCCTTATAGGGCAGGGTCTTGGACCCCTTACACCGAGGGGGCGATTAATGCCGCAGGATAAAACTGCCTTAGAACAGGACTAGTTTAAGAAACTCGATGCTGTCATTAAAAGATGCGACAATCGGGATGTGATTAAACAGCGGGACATGACCCTGTTGTGTTGGTGAGTTAGTAACGTGGAAGCTCAATGAATAGGAACAAAGTGGAACTTAGCCACTACTGTTAGCCA